TGGGGGGGGGTTCCGGAGCGCCGGCGAGGGGGGGCGGTGGGTCCCATGGGCTCACCCATCCCCTCCACCCACAGCTCACCTTCGGGCGCCTGGGGCAGGTGGTGGAGGACAAGAAGTCCATCACCTTGAAGGACATCAGCGAGGTGGGTCCCAGCAATCCTGCCCCGGCTCGGGGACTCTGCGTGCGTGTCCCCCCCGCTCCCTGCACCCGAGGACACGGTGTCCCCCTCGTCCGCAGTGTCCCCTGGGGTTTCCCGGGGCGGTTGGAGGTAAAATCCTGCCCCATCTCGCCTCCTTCCCGCAGGAAGAGCACAAGCAGCTGAGCAGCATGTTGGGCTGCCAGGTCACCTCCATGCTCTGCGTCCCCGTCATCAGCCGGGCCACCTCCCAGGTGGTGGCATTGGCCTGCGCCTTCAACAAGCTGAGCGGGGAGAGGTGAGCAGCAGGCTGGGCTCGGGGGGGACGGGGGGGGACACAGGATCCGACCCTCGCCCCTTCCCCTCTGCCCTGAGCTGCAGCTGCCTTTGGGGGCGGTGGAGCATCTCCATCCCGGGGGAAAGGGGGGGCCAGGCGTGGCGTGGGGACCGAGGGGGGACACACACAGAGGGGACCGAGGTGAGTCCGTTGTGTCCCCCCCAGCTACACGGAGGCGGACGAGCACAAGATCCAGCACTGCTTCTGCTACACCTCCACGGTGCTCACCAGCACGCTGGCCTTCCAGAAGGAGCAGAAACTCAAGTGCGAGTGCCAGGTGAGCGGGGGGGGGGCCGCGTCACGCCGGGCACACGCGTGTCGCGTGTCCCATGTCACGCCGGTTACTGACGGCGTCCCCTCTGTGTCCCCCCAGGCCCTGCTGCAGGTGGCAAAGAACCTCTTCACGCATTTGGGTAGGTGCACGCTGCAGGGAGCACCCACGGTGCGGGTGGCGGACGGACCCCCCCCGCACAGCCCCGGGGGACCTGGGGGGACCTCGTCCCCTGAGCTGCCAGCACTGCCTCTGCTTGCACGGAGCCTTGCTGGCACTGGTGCTGCACGGCTGCAGGCACACACATTGCGTGAGCACGGAGCGCTGCGTGCCTGTGGAAACGTGCATGCACACGCACACTGCTGCACGCACACGCAGAGCTGCACACACACGTACTGATGCACACACATGCGCTGCTGCAGGCACGCGCTGCTTCACACGTGTACGTCCTGCTGCATGCACACATGCACTGCTGCACACACACACGGGCCGCTACACACACCCCCTGCTGCACGCACACATGCCGCTGCATGCATACATGCACTGTTGCACACGCACACTGCTTCAGGCACGCATGCACTGCTGCACACACAGTGCCACACACACACACTCTGCTGCACGCACACACACATTGCTGCATGTACACGCTGTTACACACACCGCTGCATGCACACATGCACTGATGCACGTGCACACACATTGCTGCACACACACACATTGCTGCATGCACACATGCACGCTGCTGTGCACACACACACACTGCCACACACACACACAGTGCCGCGCACACACGTCACTGCATGCATGCACACTGCTGCAGGCAAACCTGCGTTGCCACAGGCAAACCCACGCTGCTGCGCACACACATGCACCGCTGCAGAGACACGCTGTTGCATGCACACACGCACTGCTGCACACCCACACCCCCTGCACCGCTGCACGCACCCCTGCACCGCTGCAGTTCACGCTACACATGAGGACCCCGCTGCACTGCATACTCTGTGACGCTGTGACACTTGCACAGTGTACACACACGTGCATGCACGTGTGCACAAGCACATGCACACGCTCTGTGCGGACCCCGCTCCTCTGTGCTCCCCAGGCCTTTCTGCTGTGCCCCTGCAGTGGGGGGAGGCTGGCACAGCCCACCCTCGGTGCACCCTCAGCTGAGACCCCCCCCTTTCATTGCATGAGTGGGGAGATGAGGTGGGCGTCAGCTGCCTGGCTGGGGGCTCCCTGACACTCTCCCCCCCCACTCCCGCAGATGACGTCTCCGTCCTGCTCCAGGAGATCATCACGGAGGCCCGAAACCTCAGCAACGCGGAGATGTGAGTGAGCCCTGGCGTGGGGGGGACGACACCAGGGAGGGGGGCGCCGGGTGGGGGGAGCCGGGACCCCCGCGGGTGCGAGCTTCGGCGTCGGCGTCCCTTGCAGATGCTCCGTGTTCCTGCTGGACCGGCTCAGCCACGAGCTGGTGGCCAAGGTGTTTGATGGCGGCGTGGTGGATGACGAGGTGAGCGCGGGGAGAAGAGGATGGAGTTTTTTTTGGGGGGGGAGCGTCTTGGGGTCCTGCCGCTGACCCCCCACCCCCAACTCCCTACCCACAGAGCTACGAGATCCGCATCCCGGCGGACCAGGGCATCGCCGGGCATGTGGCCACCACCGGCAAGATCCTCAACATCAAGGACGCGTACTCCCACCCGCTCTTCTACCGGGGGGTGGACGACAGCACCGGCTTCCGCACCAGGAACATCCTCTGCTTCCCCATCAAGAACGAGAACCAGGGTGAGGGGGGGCCCACGGGGTTTGGGGGGCACAGTGCTATCCCCCTGCACCCCAGTACGGTGCCGGCACCCGGCACATGGGCATGTCATCGTCCCCCAGCACGTGGGCACGATTCAGTCCCCAGTCCGTGGGCCTGATCCTGCCCCTGTCCCCCCTCTGCTCCCAGAGGTCATCGGGGTGGCAGAGCTGGTCAACAAGATCAACGGCCCCTGGTTCAGCAAATTTGACGAGGACCTGGCCACCGCCTTCTCCATCTACTGCGGCATCAGCATCGCCCACGTATGTGCCCGAGGGGGGGTCCCTAACCCGGGGAGGGGGGCGAGGTGACCCCCACTGCTCTGCCCTAGAGCTGGCCACAGCGCAGAGGGACGGGGCTGGGGGGACGCGTGTGTGTGGTCTCCGTTCCTTGGGGACGAGCGGTGGTGGCGATGGGATGGGATGGGATGGGATGGGATGGGGAGGGCACACACGGGGAGCAGGGACGTGTTGGGGGGGCCGGGGTGGGCTGGCGGGTGCAGGGGGGTGCTGCCCACCCCCAGCGCTCCTGTACCCACCTCCCACCCCGCAGTCGCTGCTGTACAAGAAGGTGAACGAGGCGCAGTACCGCAGCCACCTGGCCAACGAGATGATGATGTACCACATGAAGGTGAGGTGGCACGGGGACGGATGGGGACAAGGATTGGGGACACGAGCTGGAACCCCTGCTGCCAGCGTGGTGCCCCCGCACTCCACCCCGAGGTGGTGGCACGGGGTGGGGGACAGTGATACCCCAGGGCTTTCTGCTCTTGCTGGGGCTAATCTGGCCAAGGGGACAGCTTGGGGACACCTTGGGGACCCGGTCACCAGCAATGGCTCCCGCAGGTGTCGGACGATGAGTACACCAAGCTGCTGAGCGAGGGCATCCAGCCCGTGTCGACCATCGACCCCAACTTCGCCAGCTTCACCTACACGCCGCGCTCGCTGCCCGAGGATGACACCTCCATGGTGAGGGCCATGGGGACGGTCCCCAACTGCCACCGTCCCCTCGGTCAGGTCACCTACCCCAACCCTGGGGGGCTGGGCTGGGGGGATGCAGCTGCATCCCCAAGCATCACCCTGCCTGCCAGGCAGGGGTGGCATGGGGAGGGGGACCCTGCTGGCCGTTGTCACCCCCTGCCACCCACCGTGTCCCCTCCGCAGGCCATCCTGAGCATGCTGCAGGACATGAACTTCATCAACAACTACAAGATGGATCGCCAGACCCTCACCAGGTGGGTCCCCATCCCTGTCCCTGTCCCCATGCCCACCTGTGGGACCCCTGGGCAAGCGGGGGGTCCCTGGGAGGGGACAACAAAGACCCCCTGTCCTCACAGCCCTGCCTCCCCCTGCCAGGTTCTGCCTGATGGTGAAGAAGGGCTACCGCGACCCCCCCTACCACAACTGGATGCATGCCTTCTCCGTCTCCCACTTCTGCTACCTGCTCTACAAGAACCTGGAGCTCATCAACTACCTGGAGTAAGGCCAGGCGCCGTCCCCGTCCCCTGGCCCGGCCGGGGTGCTCCCTGCCCTCCCGCCTGCCTCAGTTTCCCTCCTTTCCCCCCCGCCCAGAGACATCGAGATCTTTGCCCTCTTCATCTCCTGCATGTGCCACGACCTGGACCACAGAGGCACCAATAACTCCTTCCAGGTGGCCTCGGTGAGCCGAGCCCAGCGCTGGGACGTGCACGGGCTGGGGGGACGGGGACAGAGTTGGGGGGATCTTCACCCCCCCAGCTCCGTGACTCCGACTGCTCTGCCTTGCAGAAATCAGTCCTGGCCGCGCTGTACAGCTCAGAGGGCTCCGTCATGGAGGTAAGGTGTGTCCCCCCCCAAACCTCCCCCTGCCCAGCTCCCCAGGGCTCTGGCTGTGTGGCAGCATCCTTGCCCGCACCCTGCCTGCTCCCACGGCCCCGGCTTCTCCCGCAGAGGCATCACTTCGCCCAAGCCATCGCCATCCTCAACAGCCAGGGCTGCAACATCTTTGACCACTTCTCCCGCAAGGTGAGCCCCCCAGCCTTGGCATCTCTCCCACGCCACCCCCCCTGCGCGGGCTGAGCCCCCTCATCCCTCTGGACGCCCAGCTCCCCATCCCTGGATCCGGCCCTTGGGATGCAGGGGCTGGCAGGGAGCACGGAGCTGATCGCACCAGCTATCTTGCCTGGCCCTGCAGGACTACCAGCGCATGCTGGACCTCATGAGGGACATCATCTTGGCCACCGACCTGGCCCACCACCTGCGCATCTTCAAGGACCTCCAGAAGATGGCAGAAGGTGAAGCTCCTGGGCTTGGGATGGGGGCTGTGATGGGAATTCATCCTACCAAGGCTGGGAGGTGGCACGGCAGGTCCTGCCTGTCCCCAAAGTCCTTGTGCAGGGGGTTCTGGGGGCCGTGGGGCTCCTTCCTGAGCCCCCCTACCCCAACCCCTGCCCCGTTCCCTGCCCGGCAGTGGGCTACGACCCCAAGAACAAGCAGCACCGCAGCCTGCTGCTCTGCCTGCTCATGACCTCCTGCGACCTCTCCGACCAGACCAAGGGCTGGAAGACCACCAGGAAGATCGCGGTGAGTGCCTGACCCCCTGCATGCCACCCCCCACCACTCCCCAGGGGCACCCACACATCCCCAGGCGCCGGGGACCAGCCTGGTCCTCGCAGTGGCATCATGCCCCATGGAGGGGGTCCCTCCATGCAGGGACCCCTGGACCACCCAGCAGTCCCCTGTGCCGGGAGCGTGTCCCTGCCCAACGCAGAACCGTTCCCCTGCAGCCGTGGAGAGGGGTCTGGAGGGCAGGCGGGGTTGGGGGGTCACCCCAGGCATGCACCTCCCCCCGCCTTGCTGACAGCCTGTCCCTTGCAGGAGCTGATCTACAAGGAGTTCTTCTCCCAGGGTGACCTGGTAGGTAGCACCAGGGCTTGGTGCAGGGTTGGGCTTGGCCAATGCTCTTGGCAAGCACCAAGGGGGCTCGGATGAGGTGAGGGGGGGTGGACAGGGAGGTTGTGGCCAGGAATGGGGAGGGGATGGCTACCGGCATTGATCCCCCCTGGCCTCACCATCGCTGCAGGAGAAGGCCATGGGCAACCGCCCGCTGGAGATGATGGACCGGGAGAAAGCCTACATCCCCGAGCTGCAGATCAGCTTCATGGAGCACATCGCCATGCCCATCTACAAGTGAGCTGGCACCAGGGTGGGGGGGCCCTCTACTGTCACTGCCCACCCCTTGCCATGCCAGAATGGGATGTGGGGGTGCTGGGCGGGAGGTCTTCCAGATGTTAGGGGGGTTTCCAAGCAGTGGGGATGGGGGAAGCGGGGTTCCACCCAACTAAGGGGGTGCAACCCCATGCTGATGGGGTGCCCCCCCACGCAGGTTGCTGCAGGACCTCTTCCCCAAGGCGGCGGAGCTCTACGAGAGGGTGGCCAGCAACCGGGAGCAGTGGACGAAGGTCTCCCACAAATTCACCATCCGGGGTTTGCCCAGTAACAACTCCCTGGACTTTCTGGATGAGGAATACGACCCACAGGCCCCCGACCCCCAGTTCAATGGCTGCCTGGAGCCCGAGGGGGCGCAGCCCGAGGCGGGGGCTGAGTGAGGGGGGGTGACTGGGGGGGGCTGCGGCCGGGGCTGGGGGCCAGGAGCATCCCCAACCCTGGTTCTCCAGCCCATGGGGAGGAGGTTTGGGGGGGGACATCAGTGACACCGGACCACCGTGGGAAGGTCTGTGTGCTGCCAGCACCCACTGCCGGTCCTTCCCCACCACTGGGTGACTGTCCCCTCCCTCTGGGGCAGGTAGTCAGGTGTCCCCTCCACCCGGTGGTCCCTGGACTCCTCTTTGCTGGGACTCTGCCTGGCGGCCACCGTGAGGCTGGGGGATGGATGTGCTTTAAACTGCCTTAAGGCTGCAGGTCCTGTGCCCACGGGGTGACAATAGGGATGAGGGGTCCTCGGTGGAAGCACCCCCAGAGAGGTCGTCCCTCTGAAATGGGGCTGGGGGTCTGTGGAACAGAGGGGGACGGCGTGGGGCAGGATGATGAGGGGGAGTGGGAGTGCTGGTGGGGTGGGCTGCAGGGTGCGGGGGGGGGTTCCCTGTGGGCCCCAGAGTGGGCTATGAGGCTGTGGGAGGGGGGCTGGGAGGTCTGAGGACAGAGGAGTCAGGATCAGGCCCACAGAAGGAGGCTGGCTCTCGCTGGAGGAGGGAAGAGGCACCCGGAGTGGGATGGCCATGGGGATGCTCTGACCGCATCCCCTGCTGGGTCCTGCCAGACCAGCCCCCACCATGCTGGAGAACTGGCTCCTGCCTCTTCCCAGCAGCCGCTGAGCATCCCTTGGCTAAAACCCCCCTCCGGGGACCCCTGGACCCACTCACCCATGGAAGGACTCATGTCCCTTGCCCAGCTCGGTCCCACGCAGCCACATCCCCTGCAAGGGCTACAAGCGTGCCAAGGCTGTGGGGGCTCCTGCTCCCGGTTTGCACGCACGAGGGGGGCTGTGCTCCCATAGAGACACCGCAGGGGGTCTGGTCCCCGCCGTGTCCCCACCACGTGGGTGTTTCTCTGGCTCGGCACTGTGGTGCCCACCCGGGAGCCTTCTCTCTGCAAGCGGCTGCACTGGGGACCAACATATCCGTGAGCATCCCCAGCTCGCAGCGGCTTCCCAACTCCTGCCATACTGACCACCGTGCATGGACCCTGCCGGCGTCTCATGGTCCCTCTGGTCCTGCAGACCACCACGCGTGGATCCTGATGGTCTCCTGTGGTCCCTCCCGTCCTGTTGACTGCCATGTATGGACCCTGCCAGTGCCCATGGCCCCTCTGATCCTGCAGGCCACCATGCATGGACCTTGATGGTCTCTGGGGTCCTTCTGGTCCCATCAATTGCCATGCATGCACTCTGCCATCCTCCTGTGGTCCTTCTGGTCCCACTGACTGCCGTGCATGGATGGTGATGGTCTCCTGCTGTCCCTCTGGTCTTACAGACCACCATGCATGGACCCTGATGGTCTCTTGCGGTCCTTCTGGTCCCATCAACTGCCATGCATGCACCCTGCCATCCTCCTGTGGTCCTTCTGATCCCACTGACTGCTGCGCATGGACCTTACCATCCTCCCATGGTCCCTCTGGTCCTACAGACTGCCATGCATGGACAGTGATGGCCTCCTGTGGTCCCTCTGCTCCTACTTAGCACCGTGCATGGATCCTGCTGGCCTCCTGTGGTTCCTCTGGCCATGCACGGACCCTGCTGGTCTCCCACCATCCCTCCTGCCCCGCTGACGGCCGCGCATGGACCCTGCCATCCTCCTGTGGTCCCTCTGGTCCTACTGACCACCAGGCATGGACCCTGCCAGCCTCCCCATGGTCCCTCCAGTCCCACAACCCAACACGTGTGGACCCCGTCAGCCGCGGGGGCTCTGCTCAACCAGCCCCACAGGGTCCCTGCAGCTGTGGACGACCCAGGTCTTTGTCACCCCAACCAAAGCCACCCGAAACACCCACGAGCAGGGGAACCAGGGCAGGGCGAGCCACGGTGAGCAGCTCTCCTTGCCAGGGTTGAGTCAAAGGGGAGGATGGGGCTGAGGGTGGATGCTGAGCCCCGAGGGGTTGGGGTGCGCTGGGCCCCCCCCGGCTGCATCATCCAGCTTGTGGGAGCTGGTGGGTTCACAACCACGGCAGGGGAAGGCGACGGAAGCGGCGCGGTGAAATCCTGGTGCTGCCAGGGTCGGTCCCACGGGAGTTGGTCCCACGGGAGTTGGTCCCACCAGGGTCAAGGGCAGCCCGGGTGCAGCCACGGGGCCGTTTGCCGCCCCATCCCCGCTCCTCTGCAGCATCCCACGGCACCGTCCCCGCGCCCGAGTCCCGGCGGTGCTGCGGCGGGTCCCCGCGGTGCAGCGATGCTCCCGGTGCGACGGCTCCTTCCCGGATTTGGGCTGCGGGGCGGCCGCTCCTCTCGTCGTCTCGTCTGTAAGCAACGCCTCGCCTGTTTTCTCGGGGTACCCGGAGCGCGTGTGTCTGCGGGAGCAACAGGAGACTCCCAAAGCCGAGCTGCTCCCCAGGGACAAAGTGAACTGAATTCCTTTTGCCTTACCTACTCGGAGATGCCTTTAGCGAGATGCTTTGCCCAAACCCCGGTAGGACCTGCCTGGTGACCACGTCTGGCTGCTGGCCCATGGCTTCGCCTATGAGACCCCCCTCAAGCCCTTCTGCCCCCTCCCCATGCCGCTGTGCAAGGACATGGGGCTGGGGGGGGGCAGAGACGGTCCCAGAAGGCAGCAAACCCCCAAACTGCAAGAGGAGGAAGGCGGCTCCATCCTTGGCGTGATGCCGGCACGGCCGCACCGCCAACGTGCTGGTGGGCACAACCATTCCCAGCCTGGTGCCAGTCTGGGGGTGCCTGGCGATGCCGGGGTCTCGCCATCCTAAACTGGTGCCAATGGGGGAAGGGGGGTCCTGCACTGGGGTGTTACATCCTGGGTACCACGCCGTGGAGGAGGGCACGCAGGGATGCCCGTTTCCCAGCTGTATCCCACTTTTCCAGCCCCCGCCGCTGGTGTGCGTAGGTGGTCAATGCTTTCCTGGCTCCTGCCCCTGTACATAACCCTATGGATACTGGGGAGCGCGGCCGGCACCCAGCCCGGCTCACCCATGAGTGTGCACGGGCGTGCGCGGGCGTGCAAAACCTCCTCCGGCTTTTCTGTCCTCCCCTCTCGTGGCGCTGGTTGTTTTGGGCTCCAACAGAGCCTGAGGAGGAGACAACTCTTCTCTGTCTTCTCCTTTTTCTTCTCCTCCTTCTCCTTCTTATCCTCCTTCTTCCTCTTCTTCTTCTTCCTCTTCTTATCCTTCTCCTCCTTCTTTATTATTATTTTTTTTTGTGGGTTTTGATTTTCCTAAATAAATTTCATACGTCGATCTCCCCGCGGCGGGTCGGTGGGTGCCTCGTGTCAGGGGTCCCAGGGGATGCTCCGGAGCAGGAGCGGGGGTGTCCTCCAGGATGTGCAGCGGCACCAGGGAGGGACAGCTTGTGTTTGGGGATGAACCCGAGTGCGTGAGCTGTGCGAGGCGTGCAAGGTGCGCGCAGCGGGCGACACTGTGGGCAGTGCTGGTGTGGGGACAGCATGGTTTGAGGGTGCATGCAGGGGTTCCTTGCAAGGTGGCCCCCCCCCCGGCATGCTCCAGACCCCTCGGATGCTCCAGTCCCCTGGTGATGCTCCGATATCCTGGGATGGTCCAGACCCCTGGGATGCTCTGATCCCTCGGGATGATCCGAGCCTCCTGGGATGCACCAACCCCTCAGGATACTCTGACCCTCTGGGATGCTCCAGACCTCCAGGATGCTCTGCCCTGCCCCAGGATGCTCCAGCTCCCCTGACACTGGGTCAGGATCCAGCCCCAGTTGGGACACCTCTGTATCCAGCCTGGTCCTGGGCTGTGCCAGGATGCGATGGGGCGAGAGGACCCTGCCAGGACAGGATTCCCCGCCCCCCCCCCCCAGCATCCCACTGGCACTGGGATCCCCCATCCTTCAGCCAGGAGGGCAGGATCCGGCCCAGCCAGGACCCAGCACCCATGGCCGGCCGTGGGTCACGCTGCCGTTTGCAGTGCATGCACCCCGAGTCACCCCTGGGCACTTACCCCCAGTGCATGGGGCTGCGGGGGTGCAGGATCTGACCCTGGGCTGCTCCTCTGGATCCCGCAGCCGTCCCTGCGTGGGACCCCCCCGAGCAGAGCTCGGCTCTGCCCATCACCATCACATCAGGGCTGTGGTTCAGCCGGCCCGCTAATGAGCAATTTATTACCTGGGATCAAAGCAGCGCTTTCATTCCGGCCCGATCTGATGGCTTCATCCCGGGCAGCGGCATTTAATGCCAGAGAAATCCCCGGATGCTTCACTGCTGGCATGCGCCAGCGCTGTGTGAGCTGCCAAAATTGGGGTGAAAAACTGCAAAACCTGTCAAGTGTCCCCCATTCCACTCCTGGCCACGGTTAAACCTGGCAGCAGAGCCGAGAGCTCTGGGATTTAGTCCTGGGATTAAATCTTTAATGCTGAGCAAGTCCCGGAGCAGGGCTTGGGGTGTGCCAGGGGACACCAGCAGCATTTGGGGTCCCCAGCCGGGACCAGCCCCCTCCTCCCTCTGACACCGATGGCTCCGTGCCCTCGGTGATGTCCCTTCGCCTTCCTGAGTGCACTTGGGGTGCCAGGGCCACCCATCTTGCCCCTCACCCTGGCCTCGGGGCTGTCCCCTTGTGTGTCTCAGCCATCGCTTTCTGTCTGTCCTTCCAACCCTGTCCAGTTGTCACCACCCCGTCCCTGCTGCCTGGGGGGGGCCTCAGGAGGGTGCTGGGGTGGGTGGCCGTGCCCCACGCAGCATCGTCCTCACGGGGCGCAGGTATCCCCTGGGTGGGGTGCAGGTATCCTGGAGATTTGGGTCACCCTCAGCCTGTCCCTGTCCCCCCCCCAAGCACCCACCCCGGGAGCGGGGGACCTTCTGTCCCTTCTCGCTGTGTCAGGGCTCCGGGGGTCGCATCCTGCCCCTGGGCCTTGCCCGTGCTGTCCCTTGCACCCTGCAGAAGACCCGGGGCAGCCCCAGACCCCCCCCAA